GCCGAAGTGGCTCGCCGCACTGGCGGCGAGTCCCGCGAGGGCCACCCACGGCGGCGCGTCGAACCCCGCAAGGCGCAGATCAGCGGGCAATGAGCAGGAGGAGCCAGGCGCTGTAGGTGCGGCACCGTGGGGATGCGACCCAAGAGGTCGACATGTTTCTCCCTCACGCGTCGCAAAGAAGCTCCCGCGACAGACGTGTCATGCCCCAGCGGCGTCCCCGGGATTGTGATGCCTTGCGGGGAGTGCGTCCAGTAGTGCACGGGCTCCGCTTGCGGGGCACGCAGATTTGGAGGACATTTACGTCACGTGCCGGGCCCGCCTTTTCGGTTTTAGGCGCAGCGCTGTGTGAGCGCGTGAACATCGGCGTCCATCTAGGCGGACAGGCTGCATTCTGTCTGTGGCACGGGGGTGTTGGAGACAGGCTGCATTCTGTTTGTGCCACGGGGGTGGCGGAGACAGGCTGCATTCTGCTTGTGGCACGGGAGTGGCGCAGACAGGCTGCAACTGCGTTTGCGGCAGAGTTCGCTGCTGCCCAGACCTCAGAGTACCGTACTCAAAACGATTGGCCAAACAGGCGGCAAGGGCTGACGCCCAGTCGTGACGTGCTCCAGGAGATGGAAGCGCGTTGACCACTGACCAATGCTGGGAAAACCCTTCTGCAGCACAGCATCCACCAAGACCTTTGCCTCTCTCCCTGATGCTGCCTTCCACTCCAGTAGTTCAGGGAAACTTGAGCAGCAGCTGCCGTGCTGGCGGCATGCCTCGCCTAGCCCCGACCCAGCCCATGCGACGCCACGGTCAAAAAGACGATCGCTCTCTTTCTGACAGGCTTCACGTCATGGCTGGCGCAAAGGCTCAAGTACAGTGGCATCTGCTGCGCCATGTGGGTGCAGAACGTCTTGGATCGCATCGGTCGTCAAGCCAGCCAAATCAAAAGGCACCTGAAAGCCGTCGTCACCTGCTCTTGCCGACAATGCGCAGGCCTCTGCCGATGCCATGAAATCATGTCGGAGCAATCATAGCAGGAGAGGAAAAGGTGGTTGACCCAAGCTTGAGCTTGTAGAGGTGCTATGTTTGTGATGCTCATGTGCGGAAAAGAATCTGGTATGCACCCAGAGCCTGCCGATCCAAAACATATGCCCACGATAAAGAACCTTTTCCGGCTGCCGCCGCATCGAAGGCAAACCACCAAATATGGTTTTTGTCTGTGTTCGGTGAGCTCCAACCGTTGCCCTGCCCGGAGACTGCATCCACGGCAGCCGTTGGTCAGTCCATGGCGTGAGGCCCCAAGATCATGGACAAGGCCAGCTTGGCCAGAAAGCGGACAAGAGGGAAGGCCTTGCCCATGTTCAGGACAAAAGTTTCCTGTAGCTTCTCACCAGGCCGTGCCCTTGTTGATGTCCACCTGGTACCCCAGCCACAGATTTTGGGGCCCAGGAAGATGCCCGCTTAAGGCCTGCCAGCCTGTGCAACACCTCCTGCTGGGGCCTAGGCTGCTCCTTCGCTTTGAGGACTCCCATGGCCTTGCCTTGCTTGAGGATCCCGCCCGTGGGTGGTTTTGTGTGTGATGAACGACGAGAAGAGCCAACAAAGGTAAAGAAAGGGAAAAGATATGATAAAAGATGGAATGAATGATAGGTGGGACATGGAGAGACCAATGGACAAGAGATAATGGATGGTCTCTCCCCACCGTTCATTCCCTTCCCTCTGTGAGGGCTTGTCAACGAGTGAAGCGAGGCATCTCTCTCCGTCCTTGGTTACGTTCCCTGCCGTCTCTTGGCCAAGTCCTTGAGTGAGAGATGAAGGAAGAGATGGAGAGGATTGAGAGCGACGGAAGGGAGAACGAAGAGACGAGTCCATCCACATCTTTCTTCTCTTTGTGGCTCTCTTTCCCGTCTTTTCTTCCCACCCATTCATTCCTTTCGTAACTTTGTGTGTGATGAACGACAAGAAGAGCCAACAAAGAAAGGGAAAAGAGATGATAAAAGATGGAATGAATGATAGGTGGGACATGGAGAGACCAATGGACAAGAGATAATGGATGGTCTCTCCCCACCGTTCATTCCCTTCCCTCTGTCTCTTTCCTGTTCCCGCTCCCAGCCGTCGCTTCACTTGGAAAGACGAGGAGACGAGGAGATACAAGGGAAAAGACGGGATGGGTCGCTGTTGGGTAAGGAATCATGAAAGAAGCGACCCATTCATGTCCTCCCCCTCTCTTCGTTCGGGAGTGTCCATGAGAGATAGAATGCTTCTTGGATGATTTCTTCCTTGGCAGTCAATGGTCAAGAATTCCTGGTTATAGACGGTTATCTGTAAAATCCTTGACATTCCTTTCCCTTCGTGTCTAATTCCCTTTGGTCAAGACACGGAAAGGAATGAAGAAAGCCGCGGCGCTAATAAAGGAAAAGAATAGCCGCGAGAAGATAGGAAAGTGATGGAGAGCCTCAAATAGAAATCTTTTAATTGGCTCTCATATCCCTTTCCCCACCGTTCATTCTTT